AACTAATAAATACAGAACTGAACTATCGAGACGAGAACTATTTACACTAATTACGATTAACAAAGACGCACGGCAGAACTGATAAAAAAAAATAACTCTCGTAGCTACACAGAGCATGGTAGTTTCCATCAAATGCGTCATTCAGAGCTATGATCAAACCTCTCGACTGTATTCCCCCTACCCCACTCCCCGAGCGATTAGTGATCATGCGATCCGTGCATCAAATATGAAGTCATTATTTATGATCTTCCGACTTTTATTTCATCCGTTTGTCCGGTGACTGATAAAGACTAAAATTTTGGGTAATGGCCTTCGAATCACAGCAATTCCACGCCCAAACCTCTGTTTTGTAAATCAATTCATGAGAGCCAGCCAAGTTCCACTGACTTCCTTATCTTCGGCGGAATGTTTGTTTTATTTCAGAAAAAGTCAGCGTTGGAAATACGACGTGACATAAGGTAACACTTCTAATGGGTGGCAACTTTTAACTATGGTACAACACAATACAACAATACAATACAATGTTCTTTATTTAACGAAGGTGACGTAATTAACCCAATGAGTTATCTAACTTACGGCCTTCACGACAAACCCACCATCCCACGCCAGGGGAGGACATGCATCACTCAGTAATCTCGTGTGTGGGAAATTAACGTCTCCTAGACGTCTCCTGTAGGAGACTGGACCTCCATTTATTCATTAGAAAGGTAGCAAATTCTTCTCAATTATTTTAAGACCTTGAGTGTTGGTCCGGTCGGGGCTTGAACCCTCGACCTCCCGCACAACAGTCCAGCGCACTATCCATTGGGCTAACTGGGCGGCGGTATGGTGGCTGCCTTTCGTGACCATTCACTTCTTGCGATGACCTTTGTACGGATATATCTTGTGGAGTATAGGATGGAAGAGTTTTTATGAAAGAATGAAAGAATTTTTACACCGGACCTAAACAACCTCGTCATCAGTTTCTCCTACATATACTAAAGCAGGAAAGGAAAGAAACGTTTTTAGTCGTACTGGTCTAAGTTTATTTTACCCTCAAACTTTTATGCAAATGCTTTTAATCCAATGTGTAAAAAGCAATCTTCAAAAGCGCCTTTCAAGTTCTTTCTCATGTTACATTGGACTCATCCCGGTCACGCATGCGCTTCGCCGTTGGGCGGGAAAATGGCATTTTATTATTCACTGGCGTCGCCGTCGCTTCTAAAATGCAAACTGCTTGGAATCCCAAGCTATGACCTCCATCCAAGCTCCTAGAGGTGGTTAATCCCTTAACACGCTTGCACAGGCCATATTCGATGTCGACATACTCACCAACAACCGATATATCATCTCATATCCAACAAGGGCGAGTGGAATAATTGTTTTATTAAAAACGTTAAATTAAATTATTAAATTTTATTAAATTTTTAGCTCCCTTTTAATTTTAAGCTGACACGTACGCTTGCCATATTTGTAGATTATGGTATATTGGCTGATATACCATAATGGCTAAACCAATAAAAAGTCTTGAATTGCATTAACCTATGATCTAGTTTTTAATAAAATGAAGTTATCAGTTGCATACCGTGAGTGTTTGAAGAGGACAATACTGGTCATTGTGTTCTACTGACTTGGAATTCACCTTGCCAAGGAAATTCTACAACAAACCATTCTTTTATCTCACACAAGAAATATTACATACCTTAGCTACGAAGAAAACGTTCCTGTGAAAAAAGAAACATGTCGAACAAAAGGAAGGACGTACAAACCGACACTTGTAACGATGTCATGAGTCTATCACTTACTAACGATTCTGTATACGTCTTGTACCCAGGCCCCACCAGTTCCGTTCACACATCGGGTCGTAGTTCCGTACTTTTTGTAGGTCACATGAGCCAACGGTCCTGACCAGCACTCTCCACCATCCTGCACTCCAAACACTAAGTATCCAGCCCCCTTTGTAGCCTGCGCGCACGTCTGAATTGCATTGCTATCAAACCTCCAGTTACCAAGCTTTTCTGACATGGTTCGGTTAGAACGGTCTTGAAAACATCCGAGGCGGAAAAAATTGACTGCCGAAAAAAAAGGGCACAGTGGTTTTGAAAGCATTCGCTCTACAACTGGTGACCTACTAGATCTATAAGAATGCAATGCCTAAAGCAATCGATCTGCCTTTGCAGACAGACCGTATTTTTATAATTCTACGTGGGTTAATGTTAATGTAATCTTTATTTAAACACGCTCAATTCATCAGCCCATAAAAACATATATCACATACTCTAAGATATTTAAAATTAAAACTACATACTATAACACTAAAGCTGTTTTCCGTGAATGCCGTGCGTTAGACTTAAAGAATGTCATTGATCTTACGTTTAAATACCCCCAGAGACTCTGTGTTCCTTATATCGCGTGGTAGACTGTTCCATAATGTGGCGCCATTGAAGCTAAAGCTTTTTTCTGTAATAATTAGTGCGCGGTAGTGCAACATTGAGGTTATTTTCAAAGTCCCTGAAGTCATAAGCAGAGTCACGCCACGTAAACTTTGAATACAGATACCCTGGAGCTAGCCCGTGCAGACATCTAAACATCATGGTGGCTTTATGGATTTCCTGCTGGCGTGCAAGATTTTTCCACCCTAAAAACTCGAGTAGCTCAGTTGCATCAGCATCATAGTTAGAGAATGTCAACACACGGGCTGCTCTATTCTGCAATTTCTGCAGTTTGTCTCGTAGCGTTTTCCCACAGCTACCCCAAACAATGTCACAGTAATCAAAGTGAGGTTTTACTAAAGCTTGGTAGATGAGATGTAAGGTTGATGCTGGGATCAGGTGCCTAATTCGCTTTAGGGCCCCGATACCAGAGGCGATCTTTTTCGTTAGTTTTTCGATGTGACTATGCCAATCGAGTTTATCGTCTATTATTACACCAAGCGATTTTGTAGCTG